AAAGATAGAATACAATTACACTCCAGGCTTTGAATGGTGTGATCTATTTTTTGAGAAGATATTCGATTATATTTAAATGATACAAAATCCTCTTCTCCTAGAGATTTCTATGGGTCCTCTCGATCATTTCAAAGATTGTTGTAAATGTTAGGCCAATGGCGACAGTTCGTTGTTGACAAGGGCATACAATTTATTAAATCAAAGTTATGAAAATTACGATAATGAAATTTTCAGGAAACGCTCAGGACAGCTCATAAATCATAATCGAAGATGAAAAAGGTGAATTTCACTGGGTATTGGTTTGAGGTTTTTCAGAAACCTTCTAAAAAACCTCAAAAGCCTTAGTGTTCTGCTGGATCACTTTTTCGGCTTGATCAACAATATATGGTACCTTTTAAGCCTTCCCTGAAGTTTGCTGGTAACTGGCGAAAAACCGTTTCTTCACACAAAATGCCTCTGGCAAAGTTATTTTCATTACTACACAAAACAAATGTTGCCACTATGCTCAGCGTAGCCGATTATCTATATTCCATGGCATTTCCAGGTTCCCAGAGATGTCTACTCAGAGATAGACACGTGCTCTGCCAAAGCAAGCCCTGTCCGAATGACGATAGCTGGGACTTTCATAATCTTGTAGAGTAACGTCCGGACTAATCATGCATGCAAAAAAATTACTAACATTGTATGTTAGTTTTCTGAGAACGGAGCTAATTTTCCAAAAATCCTCTGGAAAATCAGACTTATAGGAAATTTTGAAATAAGTTTCTGCTTACAAAAGCATGCCTTAAGGTCTTGGCTACACAATGGTGAAAAGCGTAGGTCTCTATCTCATTTCCGTCAAAGTTATTCAAAAAAAATGACCACCGGCACTGTATTTTGCGATGGATAGTAGTGTAGAATTGTTGAGCATTTTACAGTAAATACAAAATGGTTTTATATTGTACAGAAAATGCTTTCGATTTTCTGAAATATTGACTTTATAGAGGGAGAAGAATATCTTTAAGAATTTTCTATAAAAATTTGTGAAAGCTATCGGCGGATTTTCCATAAAATCAGTCCAGTTTCTGAAAAACTAACAATTTTCTGGGAAATGGCATCTTGTTTCTTATAAGTTCAAAAGAGAAGTTGATATACCTTCGAACTTGGGCCGATAGGTGCCTTGACTCTTTCCTGGAAAGTAAAACCGTACTGAGTTATCTCAGCGCATTGAACTTTAGTCCACTTCATGTCTATATGTAAAATTACACACACACAGGGACTGAAAGAAAGTCTTCGTTCACCTATCTTACCAAAATTAGAAGAATTTCTGCAACATAAAACAGGTTGTTCGATTTTCTCTGCACATGAAAGATTCTATATACAGTGGCTCCAAAAATTGATCATACACATGTAATTTCGATTTTTTTCTGTAATGGTAACTGGTATAAAGAATCGAAATAGTGATTTGGATAGAGAAAACTGTTTCTAACAAATATTTGAGAAAAATAAATTTCTCACTACATTCCCAAATCCAGGGTCTCCAAAAAATATAAAACCTATGTTTTCAGTATTCAGAACACCATCATAAAAGTTTGCTTTAAGCACATTCGGTAATACAGCAACTAATTCTCTACAAAATAAGACGTCTCCGAGCGCTGTGCAACGCTTTCTGACTGAGCTACATCCCTATATCATGGAAATCCCTTTCGAAAAACCTGAGGATTTTGTAAAATTTGTTTCGAGATCTGCTATGAATAGGCAGAACTTCGAAAAGATGAAAATTTTTGTCTAGAACTTTAAATATGCTCAAAGAAAGTGTGTTGAAAATGTAATAAGACTTGGAAAAGATTAATAATTCTTGATTTCAATTTATTCTGTATAAATTTATGAAATTAAATAAATTATTTACAGCACTCTTGTACCTCAAGCTTCTTATTTTCTTTCAACTGCTCCATCCTAGTTTTAGTTCCACTTTTTAGGTGAAAGTTAAAGTGAATCAGAGTTTTCAGATTCGAGTCTACTGTCATCAATAGAGTAAACGAGATGATGTGATGCTGATTAACTTTTGAAAAAAGTAGCATCTCTAAGTACCGTGTAACAATGGCTGGAGCACGTAACCAAATGTAAACAAAAAATTTCAAGTGGGTTTATATGGAGTTTCCAGATGAGTCTCTGTAAAGCTACCTCGAGGACTCAAGGACGATGTCATGGATTTTTTAATTCTACGAGTGGAGTCGGGCCAGAAAGTCTTCTCTACAATTCGAGATAGCGCCCATGTTTGTCCAACTAGTTTTTCAGCCTTACGATTGTGTTTCCGCCAAAAAGATGGATTCTCAGATTCTCGATCATATTTATCATCGTGCTAATGCTTTGTTTTCAACTAAAGCCTACTCAAGCCCGATGGTACATCTTTTGTACAAGACTTCAGTATCTGCTGAAGATCCTGTAGTTCTTTTTTATTTATAGTGTGTAATGCCTGTATATAAAGTAGATTTTGGGCTGATATACAAGTTTTAGATAATTTTCGTTGTTTTTGAATAATATAAAATGAAAATCCGACTACGGTAATTTTGTTACCTGAGGTTTAGCGTTCGAAAGCAACGGCGGACAAATCTGGGAGTTACCTCGAATTGTAGAGAAATTTTTTTGGCTGGATTCTACCGTCGTGCCAATGTGGTGAGAGAGATAAGCCATTTCATGCATATTTGGTAAAATACTTCAGATATACTTTGTGATGAGCTTGAAGCGCCCATCGACGCTGATTGTCCGTTAATATTAATCTGTTAATACGTTGACATATTGAACGTAATTCTGCATCTTCAAAATCATTTGTTTCACTAGATAATGTATCATAGCCTACCGATAATTCGTTTAAATTTGATGTTAATAATAATAAACGTTTGAATACGGGAGGTCTATGATAATATCCCATATAGAGTATTTTAATGTTTTTCAAAATTAAATTTTTTGTCATTTTAACATATCATCGGCTACGAAAGAAAATTCACACACACATACATAATTCCAAAATGCTTAGAGATAGATCCTATACAATCTATTGATGAACCTCGAATTATAATTCTGCATGCGTCTATTCTACTAACTGTAAGAGAAGAAAAAGTTTCTGAGATGTGGAAATATTCAGACTTACAGACGTACACATACAGACCTCGAAATTGTTTTTGATCATTTAAAAAATTATTTGACACGTATGATATTTTATCATAATGAAGTGGTAACGAATATAACATAAATGGGAAACATCTCTAAAATGATCTAAATAACATCCAACAAGAAACATTTTGTCATTTAACCAAAAATTATTTCTAAATGTTGAAATAATTTGTGTCGATGTTGTTGCTTCATTCAAAATAGTTGGTATCATTGAACATGTTAGATAAAAATGAAATTGTTTTAAATTTTTCATATGAGATAAAAAGCTTTTATATAAATAATCACGATCGATCCATGTAATTCTACGCAGACGAAATGATAATTTTAATGCTAAATACTCCAACTGATCTAAAAATCTCAAATATGGTATTGCAATTAGATTAGATTTAGGCATGCATCAATTTCAGTAAAAAACTGACACCGGTAACACCAATCTTTCGTAAACATTGTTATCGATAGATAGTCAACGATCAGGGACATTGGCTAAGCTCGTGTGCGATAAAGAAAAATTGTTGCATAGAACTTTTCCTACACATCGTAAGTTCACCTTTAGATCTAAACAACTTATCTATTTGTACCTGCAATATGTTGTAATAACAATTCGATAACCGCATAATTAACTGTTATGCTGACACTAACTAAAGTAAAATGTTTCAAATATTTCAAGTTGTTATGGAGTGGTGGTACCAGTTGGTCATCATCGTTTTCGTAAATATTTACGCTCAGATAATTGATTAATGGTAAATTGTCACCAAAAATTAATTCAGTGGAAACTAAAAACATACTTAATGAAGTTACAATTTCACTTGAGACTACTTTCGTCTTTATTCAAAAGACATCATCAGTCATATGATGGCAAAATCGAATAGACATATTCTCATCTTTTTGTTTCGAGTTCATGCGGAACCCTAAAGGAAGTAGAACATTCGTAACATCTTATCCATAATGAAATTATTTTATGCGTTTTATTTATCCAGCAGTTTGCCATCATATGACTGATGATGTCTTTTGAATAAAGACGAAACTAGTCTCAAGTGAAATTGTAACTTCATTATGTATAAGGTGGTGTTTGTCTTATTATCTATTTTTAAATTCTTCACCTTAACCCTTTAAAGCCCAATGTCCATTTGAATGGACATTGCCATTATCATTATAACAAACTATGGAAGCATTGTTGGGAAAAACTGATCTTATATCGGTTTTAGAGAATTACATTGGCTATCGAATGGTAAAACAAAATTTGTTTATGTTATATGCTGGCTGAGATATTCGAACTTTAAAATGAAGAAGGTTTAGAAAAAATTCACTTTTTTTAATTTACTTTTTTCAG